ATATATATATATATCAAAGTTTCGGAGTATCTCTAAGTTCATGAATATTGTGATACGAAGCAAATGCGATATTCACATAATTCTTTCACACTAGTTGTGACGTTTTAATGTGCCTACTAACTAAAACTCTTGAACATGATATTTACTCCGATTGCACCGTAAACAGCTCTTTATCAACAAGTTGTATATTATCCTACTAAGATAGAAAGCCGGACTTCGGAGGGATTCTGAATCACATCTGTGTTCAGTACTATAATATCTGAAATACCTTAAGATAACTTCCCCGTTTTCTAAACAACCTACATATATCTATTATCCATCATTGCCAATTTTCTTTCCTTTTGGACACGGACTGGACTGCAGTACCCATCACAGCAGTCCATCAACAACACGTGCTATAGTTCTCCAACATGTGGTTTGAAGCCAACATTGTTTATGAAAACTAATTGAAATGCTTCCGCGCGCCTCAGCTGAAGTCTTAACTATCTTGACAAATCTATTTTTTTGGTCAGTCTAGATAAACAGTAAAGCACATCTTTCTCTGCCAATCTTAGGCTCTCCTTTCTGATTTTTTGTTCATATAAAAATTTCAGATTGAAAACATGCTTCTGTATCTATGTTGATTTAAAAAACGCTAGCAAATAAACCTAGATGTTCAATTACTTCTACAACAAGGAAAAAGTTCGCCTTTCCATCATTTCCTAATCTTTTATTGCTGATCTATTGATTCAGTCTCCAACTTCTGATCTACTACTATCGATTTCTCTTCTTCATCTATTATTACAACTTCCTTTGATTGATCTAGAGATATTCATCCGGGATCGAATACAACCTCTCTTGCTTCGATCTCTTCTGAAGAATTTAACTGATTTCGCTCTAAGTAAAACATCAGTTGAAAACTTTAGTTGATACAGTTTGTTTTGTTTCTCGCATTCTCGTAGCCGAATGGTTTACTGGATATCTACACGCAAAAAAAACCGTAGAAAATGCCTTGTGATGATTGCCTGCATTTTTGACTTCTTGAGTAGTTTTTTCTGCATGTGACTTCCTGCACTAACATTCCGCGGTCTATCGCATTTCTTTTCAAGATCCTTATCAGGAGTTTTATCGAAAATTTCTTTTCCAGGGTATTCAACAATAATGTTAACCTACTCAGTCCTTTTCAATGTTCTGTTCATCAGCCAATCTTTTGAAAAAACCCACTACTACAACACTTTTTCCCTTTTTAATGACCTTTCCTTTCACAATTCCGCAAATTTTCACACAATCGAGATGGAGAAGTGGTCTTCTCATTCGTCACGCAACATGTGTCTATTGAAGGCGAGTTCGATCGCTGGAGTCCAGAAAGGTTTTGGTCCTACGAGGATCCTGAATCATTAATGATTTACTAAAATTATGCTTTAAGCTTTCATATTTCTGGTATCATACTGCCGTCTTAAGTTATTGTAGAAGCCAAGTGTACGTATAGGATGTCGTGAAAGTCCAAATCTATGATTGGTCATTAAGGTCCCAGGTTTAGAACGCTGAATGAAACTTGACCTATTTTCAAAGATTTGTCTTCTATTGGATACCACTCCTTTAGTGGGTAAAGCGACAATGTTTCTTGTGTTTAAATATTCAGAAACTTTCAGAAAGTTGTTCAACGGGAAACATTGTACAATGAGTGCAAATAATGGGAAAGCAGCACTCCACTGAAGGACTCTTTACAGGAGGCCTCAGTGGCGTAGCAGAAAGTTTACTAGGAGTGCGGGAAAAATATTGAAAGTTTGAAAGGGATTTTTGCTCTCTCCCTGTTCAAAGATGTAGTTCTTCGCTTTATTCAAATATTTTAAGAACTTCAATCAAATTCAAGTTACTATGTGAAAAAGACTGACTATTTTGCTATTTGAATTATTTTGAACGCAACTATGAATAATTATCTAAGCATCATTTAAGTAAAGCTGGCCAGCGTTCATGAAATGGTGGACAGTATTTGCCAATAAGTCCAGTACAATTTCATCATTGTCCCCCACTACATTACAAAGTGAGCCTACATTGCAAATTGGGAACTCGAGGCAGTATTGCTGACGAATCGTTAGACTACCTTCCTGATATGGTATTGACTGTCGAATAGTCGCGCCATATGTACATAGAAATTTTAGAGATATGCTTTGTTCATAGGAAGTCGTCATCTAAAAAAATTATCGTTTTAGCGTTACTGTAAAAAACAAGCGATAAGTTTGTAAGATACAGTTTAATGGAAATCGAGCTTATCAATTATGCTTCTTAAGAAAGCTTTTCCAAAAGAGAGTGTACAACTTTCTTTGACACGTTGTTACTGTCGTAGTATTTCCCTGTGTTTCGAGAGCTTAGATTTCCACCTAGTATATGCTTGGCTCAAGCGTATCAATTATATAGATAAGCGGTTAATTATTGGTTAAGCCTTTCTTTTTGCCTTGCACGTTTTTTGTGGAAGGTAAAATTCTTGTCCGTCCAAAGCTACTACTGCATTAATGCTCTAGCCACTCAACCGACAAGTTCCTTATTCTCTGAAAAGCTTGTCTTTCTCGGTTTAGAGCTTCGTAGTACCAATGTCGGCGGTACACTTATGTACATATATGCGACGCATATAGCCCTTTAGATGAACCTCTACTCAAAAATCTTCTTTGCACCTTTGCACGAAATAAAAGGCGAAAACATTTAATCTTTTTTGAAAATAAGGCAGGCTCACATCAAATCAAAGTGATTTCAGTCAATCAGAAATACTCTATGTTTTTTGACTGTAAACGTAAACAACACTTGGGTAGCTTCTGGCAAAGTTTTTCAAAATCTTTTCAATATCCCGCAAACCCTAATAATTGAAATTAAAAGACGATCTGGAATAC